GTTGAATTTTGTGATGCTATAGTGCTATTTCTATGTCTTATGGAGCAACTACTGAGTTTGATAGGGTTAGTATGTGTAACCCTAATTAAATAATGAAAAACTGATAAGATTTAACATGCAGACCGGACAATATTCAAAACAAAAACATATATAACAAAACAAATATATATATATATATATATATATAAACACCAAATTAGATGATTCCGCATCAATGTTTAACCTTGTGTAAGTGAAGAATAAACAGGGTGGAAAAGAATAAAAGGCAATATACTTCAAATATATTCAACATTAAATATGCTGATAATCTGCTATTTATTGTTCTAAGCTAATAATTTACTCATGTAAAGCAGCTGTCCAAGTCTTTCCCTTTCGACAGAATCTGATACACACAAAATCAATAACAGTTTCTAAAACATAAGCACTTTATGTATGTGCAACTTTAAGAAACGTACAATGTCTGTCACAATGTCATGCAGATTTTCCCACAAAATCAATCTAAATTATTTATTGCATTAGGAAAAAATGTATAAAAAGAAAACTGAAAATTCATTTAATGATCTGGAATCATTAGAAGTTGGACATCAGATACATGCGATCAGGTGCTCTTGTTTTTTTGGCTTTATACACCAACAATCCCACCAGCACCACAATGGAGATTATGAAGAGTCCCGCGAAGACCCCGGTGCCTGCACTGACATGAAGAGAATCACCATTTTCTGAAGCTGAAGAAAGAAACATGCAGTTATATTAACAATCATGATGCAGAATCATTTGAAGTCGTTATTATTTTAAGATGTTACTAATATACAGTACCTGCTGCTGAATGCTGAGTTTGTCTCACCACACGGAAGGGACCCTGCTTGATGTAATGCCTGGCGGTTTCTTTGCTCACGTCTCGTCTGCGTTTGTGTGCCGGTTCTCTGAGGCAGCCTTGGGCGCATCTTGAGTTTGAACTTCCTTCCGCGCACAGAATCACAGAACAGGTAATGTACACCTGTCAAAAGAGTTTGAGGGCATCGCAGTTAAATGTTCCTGCTCAACAGAATTTACAGGATTTCCAGCATTACAGAACTCAGAGCATTAGGATGTGATTCTCTTATACCTCATTGTAGCCGCCTGTGAACTTGAAAGCGTGGATCCCAAAGTCATACGTTCTTGAATCACTTTGATAAACCTCAACTGTGTCATCCATAATACACCTGTAAGTACACATTGAACACATGACTTCAGTTTTCAGTTACCCACAATAATTTATTCCGAACTATTTTGTGGAAATGAACAATTATTTTTCAATTTATTAATTCAGAATATTCAAAAAAGGGATACACAAAGAGATTACATGAACAAGTTATTTATATTCTTTATCATGAATGTATACTGTGTAATGCATGCAAAAATCTGTGCTTGAAAATCTCTACGTGGCAGATCTGCAACTTTCTGTAGATTACAGTAAGTTATCTGAGAAACTTGACTGTCCTGAAAACGCCACAATCATGGGACAGATCTGTTGTCCTTCAACACAAGGAGTGAACACGCATCTTTATCACTGAAAATAAATGTCCCGGTTCAGTCCTGTAAAGTACTGGTTAAATATCATTGCCCATTATTGCTGGTCATGAGATATATGTCCATCTTTTATGAGAAATGCAAAGCATGTAATTAAAGTTACTGCACATTTTTATATATATATATATGTAAAATTTACAGTAACGTTAAATAATTTAAATTATATATACTCACTCACTCTCTTTCTCTCTCTCTATACTGTACAGTATTTACTGTTCATTCAATCATATTCCTTTTAATGAAACATTTTTGCATTGCTATTGCAAGGTTATAACTATCGCTATTGCGTTATGAATATACTCAAATTATTTAAAGGGATAGTTCACCCAAAAATGAAAATCATGTTCCCAAGTCCAGAAACGTAGCAAGGAGATCGGTAAAATAA